CCTGGGGAGGTGCCCTGGAACAGCAGGTGCATTCCATCTCTATGAGACCACGCTTCCATTCACCTTTTGTTTTGCATTCTCCTCAGCAAATACATGTAACGTTTGCCAAATTTCACTCTCCAAATGTCCTATCCAGTAGCTGACTCTCAGTACCTAACTTAGAGCCTCCGTTACGGAAATTGGGGCCTTCAGCATCAACTCCCCAAATCCCTGCGTCCAACTTCTCTGCATCCATGTTTACATATCCCTCCAGTCTCCAGGGATGAGGCATGGCCATCCCTGACCCACTCGCACTTCTTCTGGGATTCTGTTCATCTATTCTCCTCCCTCCTCCCTCCTCCCTTCCCCCTTCCTCCCCACCACTTCCCCAGCTGCCCTTCTACGGGTTAGCGCCATGGCTCCCAGTCCCCACTGTCAGAGGATGTTTTAAGAAATCCTGGTGCCCGCACCACTCCCCCGTTCCAATGTACTCATCTGGGTAAGGCCCAGCCACTGGTAACTGCTGGGGTCGTGGCCTCGGTTGACAACCGCGCTTTAGTTACTACCTCGTCTCTTTCCTCCCCTTTTCAATAAAATTTCTCAAGAGGCGTCCGCACTGACCTGGAGCGCTTTCTCGTGCCTCTATTTCCTTCCGCCAGTGGTCCAGCCCTCCTCTCACTAAATCCCCGTGACCTGCAGACCCAGAAGGTACTTGGACGTCTTTAGTGTATGGGTCCAATTCACTGAACTCAACATTTCTGGCCATTTTTCTTCCCTCTGGACATAGTCTGCTCTGACTTCCTGGCCAAGACATCTTCTCGATTACCATCTCTGACTTCCCTCTTGAGGACACTCCCTGAACACTGGCTCCCCACGGTGCTCCCTCCCTTCTGCTTTCCCTCTCTCTGCAACACGACCTCAGCCTGGGGGCACACATGTGGGCTGGATGATCCTCTGCAGCGTGGGCCTCTCCTGGACGTGGTAGGGTGTTTAGAAGCAGGCCCTGCAAGTTTAAATCCAAGCTCTTGTTCAGTGTTGAGATGGCGAGGAATCCGGGAAGGAGACAGGGGGCTGGCAAGGCAGGTCTGAGACGGGCTGAGCCTGCCACCTGCCCCGCAGCACACGGACCTTGGTCCTGCTAGCCCCTGAAACACCCAGGCCCGTGGCCAGGGATGCCCACCTTCTTACTGTAGACACAGGCAGAGCCCTGGATCAGCAGCGCCGCCTCCACAAAGTTCATTGTGGTTTTGCCTTCGTCAAAAGAAATGCAGATCTGGTCCAGCTGCAAGACACAAAACCGGTTCTGTGGGAAGCCGAGCGCAGGAGCGCCCGCCCACCGCGCCCCTGGCCCCTCAGACTGACAGCTCTGGCTTTGCTTGGGGCTCACTTGTCTGCTGTTTGGGAGGGTCTCTGTGCTTCCCCCACTTCCTGTGGCCTCTGAGCCTGGTATTTGGAAGAGGGAGACCCCAACCACACAGCCAGCGCTGCACACAGCTCCCTGAAGGTGCTCCATCCAGGTTAGGGCTGACTCAGACAGACCGGCAGGAAGACCCCGCACCCCGAGAGAGGAAGGGGCCTTCAGGGGTGGGGAAGACAGAGACGAAACACCAATCCTTTGAGCAGAAAACTCAGGAAACACTTCCCAGTGAGTCCTCCTCTTTCTTCTGTGACCCCTGAACCCCAGCTCCTATCAACCACATGCCAACAACTCCCAAACCCGTGCAGAGCAGCGCCCTCTCCTACGTTCAGGTGCGTTTGTAGCTGCCGAGCAGGCATCTCCATCGAGACTCCCCCCAGCCGGCCCCCCCCCTCCCCCCGCAGTCCCAGCCAACAGCTCTTCGAAGCCCTTACATGTCTGTCAAGCTCTGCGCCAGGAACGCCCACCCCAGCCTGGCCCAAACTCTTCTGGCCACGCCTGAGTCTCTCCTCCCTCCGTGCACAGCGAGCAGCATCAGGGCAATTCCAGCCTCTAGCGCAGCGCTTGATGCCGGTGCCCAATAAATGCTTGATGAACAAAGTGGTGGCGTCGGCAGCCGAACACGCTTTGTGGTCCACTTTCCCAGATGAAGGAAATGGCTTTTCAGGAAGAGCAGCCGCCACACAAAGGCAGTTTGCTGACAGGGTGCATATACTCAGGAAAATGAGTCTTAGGTGATCATATCCAAAGCGTAGGGCGTGCTGGGGGGTGAGGAAGATATTAGGCCCGTGGTGGTGCCCAGAAGGGGGGTCTGGGAGGACTCCACCAGCGCAGGGCGACTGCTCCTCACTCCGGAAGGAAAGAGGGAGCTGGTTGTTCAGGTCAGCGGGGAGGGAGAGGAAGCAGGAGCATGACAGAGCGAACAGACATTAGGCCTGAAGACAGGGAACGTGGAGAGGGCGGCAGGGCCACCCAGACCCTGAGCAGCAAAGGTGGCCCTGCTCTTCGGTGATACTCTAGCCCAGCTGGGCACCCACTCCCAGGACCTCACTCTCCATTCTCCTTCTAATGACTCCCAGGTGGGACCTCCCATCAGTGCCCAAGCCTTTTGGATGGCTTACCCGACAGTCACACTGAAACAGGTCCGCGCCAAGCCCTGGAGGGTCCCCTCCCCAAACCACCTACCCAGCATCCCAGGGCCTTAGCTCCACCCTGTTCTCACCTCCCCCTCCACCCCATGCCCAGCTCCCAGCTCCACCCTGGCCTGTGGTTCCTGTCCACGGTGACCCCGTTCCTCCAGCCCTTCCCTCCAGTCTCCTCACACATCAGCCAGGGCTTGTCTGAAGACATCAGTCAGACGACATCACTGCACCCACTCTTAGGGAAAACCCCAAGATCCTAAGCAGAGCCCTCCGCACTGACCCGCCTCCCTCTCCAGGGGCCCGCCCTCCCCTGCTGGCTGCACAGGACTCACACGGCTACTTCCCACCTCAGAACCTTGAACACTGTTCCCTGAACCTGGGTCTTTCTTCAGCTCGCTATGACTAAGCAACCCTCATCCCAAAGTGAGGCCCCCAGTCCAACGCGCCATAGAACCCACGACCTTTCTTTCAAACCGCTCACCCTCCGTGACTGTACAGACGCCCACAGTGGGGAGGAGGGCGACAGCTGGGACGTGGTGCAGTCACCTGACCTCTTTGGAGAACTAACACCAGCACCTGCACGGACAGGGCTCCCGTGGGGGTTAAATGAGTTTATGTGTATAAAGCACAGGAAACGGGGGACGGCTGAGCAAGTACCAAATGTGTGATGCTTATTACGCTCCTGTGCGTACACCCAGGATCCAGCTCCCAGAGTGCAGTGGGGACTATTTCCTCAAGATTGAATAGGTCCTTCGCATACAATGGACCAGGGGTGTGGAAAGTCCAGCCCTTGGGCCTTATCATTGGGTCTGGCCCTGCCAAGGCAGGAGGGGTGAGTTAATTAAATGTGTGACCAAATAGAGCAGGCTCATTTTTAAGTTGATGATTTGTATGGCCTGGGAATGGTGTTATCAACATCCAAATGGCCCTTGGCAGAAAAAGCGTTCCCCACCCCTGCAACAGACACTCAACAACAACGAATAAATAAGTGGAGGAAAGAAAATAGCTACATAATAAAATCTGTTTAAAAAGAAAAAAGAACATTCTGGTAGCTGTGTGGAAAAAGAAACAACACAAAACTAGAGTCAGGACGTCAGGACGTCAGGACGGGGGAGCAGGGGGAGGGCCAGGGCAGAGACGGTTTGAAGAGCAGACACGAGCAGGAAGTAGGTTCATCAGGCGTCTCCAAGTGCCCTGCTTGAAACCTGAACCCAGTCACCCGACCCAGCACAGTTCTCACCATGTTCTCAGCAGAGTGTGTGTCCAAGCAGAGCTCCACTGACATATCAAGTGTTCATCTAACAAGTGTTTATTCTGCACCTACTACGTGCTGGACAGTCTGTCAGGCAAAAGGAAAAGAGCATAAACCTGGTCCCTGCCCTTGAAGAGTTTACAGTTCAGGGCGGCAATAGGCCATAAAGAAGTTAATAGCTCATGATACGCATTCTACTTCTTTATTTTTTGTTAATCCTCACCTGAGGGTACTTTTTCCATTGATTTTTTAAAATTATTATTGATTTCAGAGAGGAAGGGAAAGGGAGAGAGATAGAAACATCAATTATGAAAATCAGTGGTCAGCCACCTCCTGCACACCCCACACTGGGGATCGAGCCCTGCATCCTGGTCATGTGCCCTGACCAGGAATTGAACTGATACCTCCTGGTTTATAGGTTTACGCTCAACCACTGAGCCGCCAACTGGGAGATTTTTTTTTTTTTTTTGAAAGATTGGAAGGGAGGGAGGGGGAGGGGGGAGAGAGAAACATCGATATGAGAGAGACACATCGACTGGTTGCCTCCCAAACGTTCCCCAAACAGGGCTGGGGATCGAACCTGCAACCCAGGTATGTGCCCTTGACTGGGAAATCGAACCCCAAGACGCTTCCGTGCATGGGTCAATTCTCTAACCACTTAGCACATCTGGGCCAGAGTGTGATAAACATTCTAAAGTACTATGATCGAGATACTATATTTAGATGGGATAGTCAGCTCACATTTAAAGTGAGACATAAAGGATGCTATGTAATTAGTCATAAAACACACTCACACACACACAGCCATACTGGGTGAAGAATGCATCACGGTAGGAACAGAAAATATAAATACCCTCCGCCAAGAATGAACTCAGGTCTTATAGGCTGACTGCCTCAAAAAAGCAGGTGAAGAGCCCGAGTGAAGGCTAGGAATACAAGCAGGACGAAGGCGAAGATTCAGAGGAGGAAGCTGGGTTCTGTCCCGAGAGCAGCGGAAAGCCTCGGAGGGGTGTCAGGCAGGGCAGTGCGCCAGCCTCCCCTGAATCTGTAGAGTCACCCTTGCTGCTGGAGGGGGCGTGGGTTGGACGGGGCCAAAGGCAGCAGCAGGGAGCCCAGGAAGGAAGGGAGGAAGGTGTTGCATGAACCTGAGGCCGATGGTGTCCTGGACCACAGAAGAAGGAGAAGAGAGGAATTCAAGTGAAAGGCTGGTGGGATCACACAGGCTTCGTGGGGGCTGGATGTGGAGGGTGGGGTTTCACTAGATGAGCTCTTAGCTCTTCCTTCGGTTGAAGAGTGGTGCCACTCACCAACATCAGGAAGAAGGGAGAGAGATAGAGAGTCAGAAACATCGATCAGCTGCCTCCTGCACATCTCCCACTGGGGATGCGCCCACAACCTAGGTACATGCCCTTGACCGGAATTGAACCTGGGACCCTTCAGTCCGCAGGCCGACGCTCTATCCACTGAGCCAAACCGGTTTCGGCAAGCTCTTAGCTCTCACCTTCGGTTGAAGAGTGGTGCCACTCACCAACATCAGGAAGACTGCGATTTGCACGTTTAATATGTCTCCTCCGAATGACTCCCAAAGGCACGCTCCCAGGTCGGACCTCCCATCAGTGTACCCCACAGTCACACTGCAACAGGCCCACGCCAAGCCCTCGAGTCCCCTCCCCAAGCCACCTACCCAGCATCCCAGGTGACACGTGAGATCCTGGGAATAAACGAGAATGTGGAGGGGAAACGAGTGAGGAGATGGCCCAGGACGCACCCGCGGCGCTAGACACTGAGAGGCTGGGTGGGAAAGAAAAAGCGGGCACTGAAATCGGACGAATAGGAGACACCAAAACCTGTTTCAAAAAGGAGGGAGTGGCCAACCCAACAGATGCTGCAGAGCCGCACAGACGGCCCTTCCCGTGCGCCCGCGGTTTGACGGGATGGAGGTCGTTACGGATCAGGACGAGAGCAGCCCAAAACGTGAGCGCGAAAGTCAAGGGCGGAAACGGAGCGGACAGCTCCTCACGCAGCGGCACGCCGGGCACTGAGACAACACTGCATGTCAGGTACCGTTAAAGGTAAATTTTAAAACAGAAGGGAATCCTCACATCCTGGCCCAGAGCTCTCACACACCCAACGTGCACACATCCCACTGCATCGGAACCAATGCCGGTCCCGCCTACTCCACCGATCGCGGAGCCCGCTCACGGGGAGCGAGCCACCTGTCATGACAGGCTCCCGTCGCAGCGATGGAGGCGGGGACGGCGCTGGAAAAACCACCGAGGCCCAGCGCGGCCAGAGCGCCGGATGCACCGACCGGAGGGGGCGGGCCGCCCGGAGCCCCCGGCCCGGCGCCCCGCCCGCCCGGCGCCTCCCCCGGCCGCCCTCACCTCCTCCAGATATTCGCCCAGCTGGGCCGCCACGTCCACCTCCCAGTTCTTGGTGAGGTCGCGGATGGGCTGCAGGAGGTGGGCGAAGCGCGCCTCCACGTCCTCCATGCCCGGCAGCGGCTGGGCGGCCCGGGGCCCGCGGGGTTGGCTTCGAGGGGGGCCAGCGCCCTCAGCCCGCCACCACTTCTGGCGCCATTTTGCGGCTCCCGCCCAGGACGGCGCGAAAAGCGCGGCGCCGGGCGCACACCTATGACGCACGCGCCTAGGCGACCCGGGCGCTGCGCCACCTACGC